TGTTGTTGGTGAAGACTTCCAGGTTCATGTGGTGTAATCGTTCGTGGAGAATATGAATGCTTCGGTACATTTGAAGGTATATCATCCATTTGTTTTAATGTTGTTGATACTGTGTTTGCAAAATATGGCACATAAGATGTTGTTTCAGGTTTTGAAGCATTTTCTTCTTGTAATTCTTGTTCATCTTTTGCAATTTTTAAAAATGCTTGTGTTGTTCGAGCTGATTCAGATAATAGCTTCATTTGTCGTTTAATTTGAATCTTTAATGAATCTTTAATTCCATTTTCCAACCATGAGATTATCATTTTTTGTGACATAGATGGATTATATTCATGACATAATTTAATGATGGCATCATGATAAGACGTGATGGTTTCATCCGATTTTTGTTTACGTTCTTTTTATTGTTCGAATAGTTTTGATGATGAATCAGGTGTTGTGAATCTTTCAAGTAATGCTGATTTTAATCCTTCCCATTGGGTTAATGACATGTTATTTTCGTACCAACATTTTGCTTCACCATCTAGTTTTGCTGTACACATACAATATAATATATTATCATTTGCCTCGATCATCTTCCCAATTCTTTCAATATTTTTAATAAATTGTAAGATTTTTTGTTCTTCACCACCGTTGAACCTTTCCAAATTTGATAAGCATTCACGATAACATATCATCATTGCTGAATCTTGTGCAGTGTGAGACATCGTTTGAATCTGTTCAGTAGTATGATTTAATGACTCCAAGGTTAATCTTTTTACTGTACGTTCAGATGTTTTTGTTAATAAATCACCAGTAAATTCTGGATCATTACCAGTACTTCGAAGACTATAAGCCGTTATTTTAATATCAATAACAAAATTGTGATAATATAATGTTGACTTTAATCGATAACGTTATATGTATAATAAGTCAAAGAGTTATTCTCTTTTGTTTGACTTTTTATTTTACCTCTCTCAGACAATTCCTAATGGAACTATCTCTTTAATTCAATTGAGGTTTTGCAGGCAGCTTCCAATGGAACTACCTTTAAAGTAAATGAATAAAAAAAAAATGTAATCACTTACCGATATATTTTTCCTTTTAAAATTTCAATGGTATATGAGTTTTTTGTGTTGGTTCGTGTTTTATTATTAATAAATAATAAAACAATCGGTCACGGCACCAATATTAGGGAAGAGGTAAAGAGGTTTTATTTATTCTTTGTTTTTTTTTGCTTCTTTTTTTTAATCAAACATATATCTGACCCCACTCTTACTGAAAAATGTCCGCATATACATATATATATATATTCTTCTATCCAGGGAAAACATGTACATATGTATATAGCGGTGGATGACTAGATATCATGATATCATAGAACAAATAAATGTGGAAACTTCGGATTTAAATCCGAGAGTTATGTGTACTTCAAAAAGTGAA